GAATTCAAAGAAAAATTCTGCATTTGAACACTATTCAATATTCAGAAGGGACAAAGAGTTTGCTTATGAATTTTCAATCCCTTTGAAGGGAGGATAGTGTCTGGAAATGACTGAGTTTACCAGCCTGTCATGAAAGGCTTCCTGTTGTATGAAAATGGTGTTAAACTCCTAAGCATATCTTCAGAACAACTGACAGCACATCATGAAAAGAAAGAGCATGCTACAATATTTTTATTGACAGAGTTTCTCAAGCTTTTTTATTTACTTATGAGAATAATTTTACATTTTTCACTTTTTAAGTCATGGGATCTAAGCTACAAATATACAAGTGAATATCATGATATTTTCATAGACAGATACCTTCAACTAGCATTACAGAGTTTTATAAAAACAGAAATCTATATTTGTTTCACCTGATTTTTAAAATTATTTTATTTGTTTTAATTAGTTATAGGTGACAGTAGAATGCATTTATGCACTTTGATGTATCATACATAGATGAGGTATGATTTCTCATTTTTCTGATTGTACATGTTGTAGAATCACATTGGTCATGCAGTCACATATATACATAAAATAATAATGTCTGTTTTGTTCTACTATCCTTCCAATCCCCACATTCCCTCCCCTCCCCTCCCTTCACTCCTCTCTGTCTAATTTTAGGTAACTCGTTCTCTCCTCTCGTATCCCCCTCCTATTGTGAATTAGCATCATCGCATATTAGAGAAAACATTCGGCCTTTGGTTTTTKGGGATTGGCTTATTTTGCTTACCATGATATTCTCCAACTCCATCCATGTACCAGCAAATACCATAGTTTCATTCTTCTTTAAAGCTGAGTAATATTCCATTGAAATATATATATATATCACATTTTTAATCCATTCACTTGTGTTTTTGTTCCAAGTATATTACATCTGAAAGACTCATACACTTGATTTTTCTTGTGCTTTATACTAAAACATGCAAGAGTCAGTCTTAATGATTAATTCTCAGATCTGTCCTTTACTCAGAACCTAAATTATATCCCCTAAATTATATAGAATTTGAAATTCTAATTGGAGTGTCTAATGATCTTCTCATACTCCATAATCCACCCACCTGTTCTGCATTCCCACCAGATATCAGCTTCCGATTTTTGCCAAATGCACTCATTCACCAAAACCTACTGCTTCTGCCCATATTAACCAACATAATTTACCATTTTTATTCTCTATTTTTTTAAAATTATTAGTTATTCATCGCTAAAAAATATAAAACACTTGAGTAATAAAGAATAATTTTATAATGTAAACCCATATTTCTTTTCCCCAACTTAAGAAACAGTACTTTGTCATGGAACTTTAAGGTCCCTTGGATGTCCTTCCAAATCCCACACTCTCTTCTTCCTTTTCAGAGGCAATCCTCTACTGAATGCATTGCTCATCTCTGCTTTCTTTTCTTTCTACATAGTGTTTAAATTTTTGCAATTTCATTTACATAAAAGGGTTCATACTGTTGATGTTTTCCTATGAAATTATTTTTGTTCAGAAATATGTTCCTGCTGTTCATTAATGCATCAGTCATGTTATCTCTGGTTCTAATTCTGTATGTTTATAATTCAGATGTCTATAAGTGTCATTTTATGCATATACACATTAGGAGTGTGTGTGTCAGTTTGGGGGTTTACTAAGTTTTCTAATATGTTACAATGGTCCTCTCTCTCTCTCTCTCTCTCTCTCTGTGTGTGTGTGTGTGTGTTTGTGTGTGTGTATGTGTATGCTTTATAGTATTTCTTTTCATAAAAACTTCTCAATTTATTCATCACATCTCTTGGAAATTGATGTTGTATTTTTGTACGTTTTTTTTTCCCAGTGTACTGTAACAAACACTCTGTCACATATCTTATGGTACATATGTGCAAGACTTTTTGAGGTTCACAAATCTCCTGGATCATACAGTTGAAATTTCTAAGTTTATAAAAGCTGAAAAAATATTTTCCATAATAGTTTCATTAATTTACATTTATACTTGTATTATACACATTTTCCAGTTGTTATAAAACCTCAATGGCACTTGAAATTGGCACTTGAAGTTGTTGCAAATTCAGTAGTTTCAATTATAATTCCTGGTGTTTTAACTTACATTTCCTATTACTAATGAAACTGAGCATTATTTCATGTGTTTCTTTGCCATTGCTTTTCTTCTTCTGCAAGTGCATTTAGTAGATTTTGCTTAATTTTCTCTTTGGTGTTTTGACAAATCCTGTGATATAAATGTGTTCTTTATATATTCAAAAACCAAATCCTTTATCAAGGACATTTTGTCCAATTTGCTGTTCTTTTCACTGTCTTTAAGCAACTTTCGATGAACAGAAATTCTTAATTTCAATACAGTAGAATTTACCTGTTTTATGTGTTAAGGCTAGTGATTTTTATGTCTGGTTTGAGCTCATAAAGTTTTTCTATTTTATTGCCTCCTAAAATTTTTATATTTTTGTCTTTCATATTTATGCATTAGTAATTGATATTTTTTTGTCTAGGGTATGATAGAGGTCCAGTTTTATATTTGCCCTTGTGAGGAAGCAATTGTTATAGCACCATTTATTTAAAAGCCTATATTTTCCTCAAAGATCTTCTAGGCCAGTTCTGTGATAATTCAGATATCCATATATGCCAATAGATGCATATATAGATATGTCATATGGGATTGTGAGTTTGGAAGTCCCTATTCTGTTCAATTGTCCCCTGTTCTCTTGTACTAATACTACAGTCTTGATCATCATAGCTAGAAAAGTAAATCTTGATAAGGCATCTTTACCAACTCTTTTCCTTTTTCTAAATGTATCATAGCTATATTTGGTCTCTGTGGTATCATATAAATTCTAGTATCAACTTTTCAAACTGTGCATACACATAAAAAATATTGTGGGATTTTGTTGAAATGGCATGGAATCCATAAATCAACTTGGGGAAGATTGACATATATGTTTTCCAATTTCTCTGTATTTGTGTAAATTTACTGTAAAATCTTTCAATGTGGTTTTATACTTTTCTTCATTAAGTTCCTTCAATTTTTCTGATAGGTTTACTCTTAGGTACTTTATATTGTGTGTGTGTGTGTGTGTGTGTGTGTGTGTGTGAGAGAGAGAGAGAGAGAGAGAGAGAGAGAGAGAGAGAGAGATTTGCTTTAAACTATGTGTTAAACATATGTATTACTGTATAGGGATATGCATTTGAATTCTGTATAATTGGCTTGGCATCCAATCAACATACTAAACTTTCTAATTAATTATAACAATCTGTGGGCTTGGGGAAGGAGGTTATATTGACCAGAAATTACTGACAGTTTCATATCTTCTTTCCTATATCTAATATTGCATTCCTGACTTAATACACTGATTAGGTTATCAAGAGCAATCTTACATGGAGATAGTTATGGTAGATGCCATTTTAAAGTCCCTGATCTTGAAGAAAATTTGTTCAATGTCTCATTATTGGTTACAACATTTACTGTACATGTTTTGTAGATATCCTTTATTAAATAAGAAATTGTCTTCTCTTTCTCCTGATAAAATCCTTGACAACAACTCCCTCATCTCCACACCATCTCATGTTCCCTCTGACCCAAAAGGGTAGGAAAACTAAAACCCAGGTTCTGGCCTCAACAAATGTCTTTAAGGGCATGCCAGGTTCAGTGTCTAATCCCATTTAATTTTGTTTTTACTCATATGTAGGATATTTTTCAAACTCCTTACTTTTCTTGCTAGCTTCATGTTGTATTTATTTTAAGGGATATGCTTATATTTCATTCATAGTGTTTTCAGTGGTAGATGACTAGGTGTATTTAGTCCACTGCACTAGCAATAGAAGTCTCGCCTTTCTTTTCTTTCCAAATACACTTTCTTTGAAGTGTCTATCCTTTAGATTTTCCTTTTTAATCATCCTTTGGAAATTTTAACTTTATTTCATCTATTTGTTTATTGCATTTCCCAAACCTTCTTCACCCAACATCCCAATTTCTTTAAAATGGGTCTAGATATWTCTTTAGTTCAAGGTTGATCAATTATATATACAACAATATATATATTATATGTAAATGTAATGTGTTTTATTATATATAACACCCATTGTCATGTATTTAGGCATCTTCTATGTATCTCAGGGACTCAATCATATCCTCAGTTAATGAAGGCAAAGGATATGCTCCTTTCTCCCTCTGACCACCCCAGAATTCTGTAGCTTCACATTCAAGTTGCTGAGGATGTTTTGTTGTTCCCTAAGTAAATATGGTCCATATTATAATTACATGCTTCTAGCTTCTTTTTCTATGTAAGTGGAAAAGGCATTGTGGGAAATTTAATAACCCTTTTTATGATTAACGCTTTATTTCATACAAACCTTTATGTACACTGAGACGTTCTTGGAAAAAAGTGAAAATCAGAAGGATATATCATTCTCTCTTGGTGAATGCACTTGTTCACCAAAACCTACTGTTTCTGACTGGATGATTTGCCAACACATAATTTATCATTTTATTCTCATTTTTATTTTTAATTATTAGTTACTGAAAATAAAATGCATGAAATACTGAAATTATAAAAAAAATCATAATGCAAACCCATGTTCCTTTACCCAACTTGGGAAACAGTACTTCATGATGCAGTTTTACAGTAACCTTGGATGTCCTCCCAGGTCCAACATGCTGATTCCCTCTACCTTGCTCAGCATTTTTTTTCATAATGCTAATCATTTTCTAATATGTTATATATTCTTCCTGTTGTGTTTGTTTCTTACTGTCTACCTACCCCCAATAAAACATAACTTCCACAAGAACAAGAATCTATTTTATCATGACATGTCCCAAACTGTACCTGGCATCAAATAGGCACTCACTAAATACATGTTGAATGAATGAATGGCATACAGCATTTTCATAATCAAATGGAAAAAAAAAACTCCATGATTTTCTTTTCTAAAATCGTTTACTTTTTTAATCAATGCTATTTTATTCTGTTTGCAGATATCAACATGGCAGGGGAACCCAAACCATACAGACCAAAACCCGGAAACAAGAGGCCCCTTTCTGCACTTTACAGGTACCTAAACCATCACTTTTATGTGATATGTAGTGGTAAAAATGTCTTACAACTTTTTAAGACAATATTTCATGTAAGGAATCAACTTTTTTTTGACTCATGTTTTTTACTGGCATAAAGTAGAAGAGAATGTTGTTGAGCATCGCACAGATATATCATGCAACATTTCCAGGAATCTTGAACGACTAACATTCTTATGTCTGCTCATATAACCATCTGCAACCCACTTTTCCAATAACATCTAATAAAAAAGTCTCTGATTCTGCCTGACAGGTATAAAGGTCAATGTTGAATAATTACTACATGCCATGTACTATAGGGGTTTTACATATGTTGTTTAATTTAATTTAATTTTCAAAACAATCTTACAGTATAGATCAAGAACCTTAGATTCAGTTTCTTAATGATTTTTCTCAAGTTTATATCTCTGGTAAGTGATTGTCCTAGTACTCAAACTCAAGCCTTCAGACAACATACTCCAAATTATTTCCATTCAATGGCTCAGCCTCTTTCATTGCACTGTACACGTTCTTGTCATTTCCATTTCTCCAAAATAACAAATAGAATTCTTCTCTTCTTCAGAGAGACATATCCAATTCCTTTAGCCTTTCCTATAGTTACTTAGAACTGAGTCAATTTAACATTGTTCTTGTCCTGTTACATGCCTCAGTTTATCAGTGTCCACACCTATTTTTAGAATTCCAGGTGGGTAGAGTAGACTAGATTTAGCAACTTTGTTGCTCTGTATGTACCTCTACTAAGTTAAATAAAATTCTGTTGATCTGAGCAAGAAAAGAGTGAACTCATATAATTTTCAGCTCTTGAAAAACAGCCACTTTGAAAAATAATCATGTTCTGTTGTCCCACTTCACGTACTTTGCYACTGGTTTTTGTATTGTTAAGTGCTGACTTCGCATCTGTCTCTGCAAAATTCCCTTTTGTTAGATATAGCCAATTGTTCCAGGCTATTGAGATCGCCTATCATCCAATTTATTAGGTCTTCTCCCAGATAGGTATCATCGTTCACATCCACAGCCATAGAACTAACGTAAGTGTTGAGCAAGGCTTCCTATTTTACTGATATCATTTGGATAAAGGAGAATTAAGTTATATGTGTTAGATTACATTCAGATACAGTATAGTATAGGGAGAGTGCAGCTAAGGAGACCTCAAGCTATTTTCTAGTCCTTGTTCTCTGAAAACTAGCATATCTCCTTTTCAGCCCAGCACAGCATCATTTCCTAAACAATAAAATAAGGGTCAGAACTAGATMACTTTCTAAGGTTCTATTCACACCTAACCCCTTCAGGGCTCTCTAGTATGCAACTATCAAAGATTTTTTTAAAGCTGTATTGAAATATATAGCTTCATTTCCCTTGTTATTTTGGCTCTTTTACTTTATTTCATCTTAATAAGATATTTTATATAAAACGTAGAAAGCATAGGAAATAACAAACACTGATAATTAGCCTCAGGCTTATATTAACGTTAAAGAGCAGAGATGAACTCATCAACAAGGCAAAAGATACTTTCTGTACCTTGTTTGCAATAAAGGACAATATTGATAAAAAAATAACTGGGCAATGCAGACTAATTTTTGATCATGTTCTTTTTTTAACGTATGCATCGAGYCATAGCTAATACAAAACATTTGAAAAGTCACATATTCAAATATTAACAAAACAAGCTGGCCATGTGTAGCTTTTTTGGTTTTTTTTCCCTCTCATCAAAGTTATACCATTGTCTATGCCACGATATTAATTTTCATATTTTCCATGTTCTCGATTGTTTTGATTTCCTTATGAGAATGGAAGCTCATAACAGACAACAAATGTTGTTTTAACTGTTATTTTCTCTATTACTAAGTTATGTTCAATTATAAATTCAAAAGAATTAGAAACAATTTCAATTAAATATGCTGTACTGTAGACAAATCACATTAGTGGGGAAATGCTTATTTATCCTGCTTGCATCTGTTCACAGAAATTTAAAACTGGGGTACAGTGAAATTGAAAAACAGTAACAAAGGGAATAAAAGGGAACAAATGTGCAGTTGAGAAAGCCCTTTTATATACATTTTTTCATGCTTACACAAGCTTAATAATAATAGTACTTCACTTTTATATGGAAAACTATATTTTCCTAGTCATTCTTCATCTGTTCATCATAGAACTCACAAAGCTGGAATTACATGCCTTGCTTTACAAATGAGAAACCTAAGTTACCAAGACAATAAAGGATCTGCTCTAGTAAAATAACAATATTGGTAACTGAACTCTAGTTTTCAGCCTTCAATTAGGGTGATTTTGCCTCTAGACCACAGCTCTTTGCATTCACCACCTCAGCAATTCAGATTATAAAAAACAGAGCTTTTCTAGTCACCAGTAATCAGTCACATTTCTATCTATGAATACTATGCCAGCAGCTGGCAAAGGAAACATTATACACTATATACTTCATAGGAATAAGAAGGTTGAGGCCTACTTATGTAATCATAGACACAGATTTTGAACTTTAGGTTGTTTATCTAACAATATTTGCATAATTATCTTGAAAGTATAAGATTGCATAACAGATGAAGTAAGCTAGCTCAATATAAAGAATATGGCAGCAAATTGGAATGGGGAKAGTCTCTGCTTTCCTATTCTTTTATCTTAAATGAAAGAGCTGGAACAGTTCCATTTGTTCTTTCTTTCATTCATGTATTCATTCATATAAAATATATTCAATACATTTATTGTGGTCTGTAAACTGTGGTAGCTACTTTTCTAGCCAACTGGCACAAAATACCAACCTGTAGGGTGAGAAGAGAGCATAATGAAATAAAAGTAAGTTATTTGGTCAGTTTTATTCTGCAGTTCTCCAGGTCCATCAGTTTACCAACAAAAGACATAATTTCATTCTTCTTAATGGCTGAATGCAACTGCCGTGTGTGTGTGTGTGTGTGTGTGTGTGTGTGTGTATCACACTTTATATATATCCATTCATCTGTTAACAGACATTTAGGCTGGTTCTGTAACTTTGTTATTGTGTGAATTGTGCTGCTACAAATATTGAAATTCAGATATCACTAGTATGCTGATTCCAGTTCTTTTGGATAAATGCCAAAGAGTGACAAAGCTAGGTCATATGGTGGTTCTATCCATAATCTTATTTTTTTTATTTTTTGTAGTTGTTGATGGACAGAATGCCTTTATTTTAATTGTTTATTTATGTTTTTATGTGGTGCTGAGAATCGAACCCAGTGCTTCACACATTCTAGGCAAGCACTCTATCACTGAGCTATAGCCCCAGCCTAATCTTTAAGAGAGTCTCCATATTGAGTTCCATTGTTGATGTAGTAATTTGCAGCCCCACCAACAATGAAGTGTCTGTTTCTCCGCACAATCTCTCCAGTGGTTATTATTACTTACATTATTGATGATTGCCATTCTAACAGTTATGAGATGAAATCCCAATGTAGTTTTGATTTGCATTTCCTTGGTTGCCCAGAATGTTGAACATTTGTTTTTCATATATTTGTTGACCATTTGATTTCTTCTTTTGAGAAATGTCTGTTTGGCTCATTTGCACACTTATTGGTTCAGTTTGTTGTTGTTTACTTTTGATTCGATTTTTGCTGTGAATATTTTTGGTGTTCTTTTTCAGATTATGGATATTGATCTTTTGTCAAAAGAGTAGCTGGCAGGGATTGTCTCCCATTCTTTAGACCCTTTTTACACATGAAATAAACCAAATTATGCTAAATTTACATGAGACTATATCACAGTGAATCCCATTTTTATGTATAAATACAATGTACCAATTAAAAATAAATAAATAAATGGAAGACTAGTAGAGTGGAAGAACAGGATCAGGGGAACTATGAAGGGAAATAAAAAAATAAAATGAGCAATTTATGTTATGTGCATACATGAATATGTCACAATGATTCCCGGTACTTTGTATAATTATAATGCAGCAATTTAAAAAATGAAAAGCAAGTTATTGGTACAAAAATAATCTGTAATTCACCTTTGTGCCCTAAACTGCTTTGCCTCCATAACTATATTCTGTGGGGGACTATAACTGATCTGCTAAAAGACCTTCTTTATCTGCATCTACTTTATCTCCATCATCAGCCACAAAGCAGTATTCACAAGGGATGTGGAATATCCACTGAAACACAAGAGGGTTGCTTTGTTTCTTCTTTTAATAAGATTTTCACATTAGCCCAACAAAGTTCCATAAGTGGTTACTAGGTGCTTAATTTACATGGTATTCATAGAAGATGYAAAAAAGAAACACAGTGAGGCTTAACAAATCTCAACTGTCTTGTGCATGAGTTAGAARCATAAACAAATGAGGACAACCCAAGAGAAGTAAACATTAATGAGTTGCTGATTCTGTCTAAAGGGAAGTGAAAAGTCTGGGAAAGCTACAGGACAAAAAGGATACTTGAACAAACAGGCATTGCCTCTGCYGACAAAGGCAAAGGTGGACATGCTGAGCAAAGTGCAGGGGCAGAAGCATAGAAATAAGGAAGAGTACCTCATGGTGGGAGCCAGGGGAGGCTAACTTGGTGGAGAATGTGTAAAGGGAACATTCCAATGGCCCAGGCTGTGAATATCCATATACAGCAGATAAAATAAATTTGACTTTTACTCTGAAGACAAGAAGGAATCATTTAAATATGTTGACTGATTGAAAATGGGCTATGGGGGAGTGTGAGTCACAGATATCCAAGATTTCTAGCTTAGGCAACTAGSGGTATGAGCGTGTGATTCAGATAGAAGAAACAGAAAGATGTGATAAGCAGTGGTGAGCTCAGGTATAAAGTTGAGGGAAGGAAGTAAAAATAAATTATTTCAGTCTTATACGTGAATCCATAAAGACAGACAATTCATTAAAATAGTACTTGCAATAAAAATGTCTCCCATTAGAGCCTATCTGTAAATGAAACATAATTAATCATTTGTGAACATTTCATAAATATTGGACCTAGTCCTAATGGTGAGTGG